AAAAAAAAAAAAAGAAAAAAAAAGAGAAAAAGAAAAAAAAAAAAAAAAAAAAAGGAGAGAGATAAAGAGATCACCGTTCCTGGTTCCAGCGTTGGTCCAGGCAGCAGGGCTTTCTGGTTCATCAGAGCGCTCCTCTGTGGATCTCCAGGGAAAAAAGTCTCTTTCCAGGGAAAAAAAAAAAGAGGTGTCCAGGGGCACTTATTTTCCCCTTTTATAGTCATGGTATCGGTACTAACCGTCCTGCTGTTACGATGCTCAGGTTTCTCTCCCCCCAGGTGACGTGTAGCATGATTTGGGTGGAGAGACGAGTCCTATAGTCATATATGTTTAGCATGATCTCAGTAATCTTCATTAGCATATGCAGGGGTGTGAACTTTAATATGCATTTCGTGGATAATGAGGCAAAGGTCATTATCGGACATGATGGCCCTGAAAACAAAGAAACTAAAAGCTTCACAAGTTGAGCAGAAAGCCTTGTCTTCACAAGACTTCCCCCACCCAGACGCATCCTGTGCTGTCCAGATAGGTTTTCTCTCCTGGGTCACACAACAAATAAGAAGGTGTTAGCCTTAGCTCTTCGAGCACAAGGCCTACATTGTCCGGACTCCATATTATCCACCCCTTTGCTACAGCCATATCATGAAGTCCTCATGAGTGTTTGAGACATTCCTCAGTGAGGCTCAGAGGGCCTCCCCCGTCTTTTGTCTCTTGCCACTTGTTTCAGGGAATTTACAAGTCATGTCTTACAATAGTATTTCAAAGGGCTAGAATGACTATTGGTTTCTAAAACATGAAGATGTAAACCCAGCATTAATATTCAAAGTGTATCTACGCCTAGCCTTATTGTAACACGTTTCAAGACTCCCAACAACGTACATATTTGGTTACAGTCTGACAAGTCCCGGAGAAAAGGAGAACATCCTCGGTTCGATTTGAGAACCGGAAATAGGTTGTCACTATTAAAAGGATGGGACAATCCATCACGTGTTAATTTTGTGTTCTTTTCCACGGGCATCTTTTGCCTTCCAGGCGTATTTATTCAATGAGTTTTCAAGTATGAATGGTACATTCCCCACAGTGGGAAGGTCCACAAACACAGGTTGACCAGGAAAATAGGAGGGATCTTTAGGACAGTCGGGGTGCATGGAAGCCAGAATTATGGCCAGAGCCTTTGGACAGAATGCCATGATTTTCGGGCATCTGTTTACTCCCCACCGGTTGTTTACATGGGCATCCTACATGTGGTTCTCGGGCCGTTTGTTCCGGTGCGTGTCTCGTGCCACCTTTAAGCCAGTGCAAAGAGCTTGCACGTTTGCGCAGCGAACCAGCCAGGCCAACAGCTACAGCCAGAAGACCGCTGAGGAGACGGCTCTTGTGTCGTGGTCTCTTACGTCCTGTCTGAGAGATGGTATGGACATACCCCAGGGCTTCATCCTCATCAGGTTCTGGGAAATCTCGTTCTTTCACAAACTGGTTTTCCTTCACTCTGTGCTCCACCTTCCTGCATGGAGACACTGTAGGAGACAAAAGGATGGCCAAGTTTGGATCATTTGGAGTTAAGTCCACTATGACACCAGAACCACCGAGGCTTCCAACAGAAATTTCTCCCGATTCCTTCCCCAAAGCAAGTGGGCTTAGAGGACAGGCATGTTGAGTTCTGTCGATGTTCTGAACGGGCTGCTCCACATCGAGGCTATCTGCTACCATCATGTCAGTGTGGCTGGACTGTTTCACCATCACGGTGCTGATTTTCTCCTTCTCCTGGGAAGAAATGAGTTTTCCATCTGCAACATTTTCAAGTGCCTCTGGCTTCACAGCAGAAGGGGAGGGAGGTGGATCGCTCAGCTCAGAGGTTGTGGTGGTCAAACTCTCTTCAAAGGAATCAGTCTCGTGAGCTGTGTTCTCACTAAGCCCGCTGTCTGCTGCCTTCTCCAGAGCTTGGTCCTCTGGGATGAGGCTGGTTGGCACCGTGGCACTCAATGCTGATGGCTTCCCCTCCCACTCACAGGTGTACTTCGGGACCTGCGCCTCTAACACAGCCCTGTTCTGAGCCAGTGTAAGAGTCTATCAGAAGAGTGGTATTGTCTCAACATTGTCATCACCGACTAGACCCCAAAACCTGGACTAATGTCTAGGCATGAGTTTGCAGTGGCTCACTGAGCTGGCTGTTATCAGATGTGGAAACCTTGGAGAAAGGAGTGGGGTACGAGCAGTGTTGCTACCATTGTACGAATGTACGAACTGTGTCGATACCGTGGTACATAAGTATGAACAGTGTCATTACCTGGTACAAGCCTATTTTACCGAAGCAGCAAAACAAAGAACTGCTGTTGAAGAAGATGGATCACACGGGCTGTGCCAGCACCGATGAAGTAATCTAAAACCTCAGTTGAACTTTCTTCATTATAATGTCATTATAATATAAAAACACACCTCCTGGTAAGAAGTTACCTGCCTCCAAGCCTCAGACACTACTATCTGGGCATGCGTGGAAGCCTTACTCCAGACAGGTGGAGATTGGCACCTTTCCACAGGACAGAGGTGGAGTGGAGGTGGGACCAAGGAGGAGCAAGGTGTGCTACCTAGCATAAAAGATGGTTCCTCAGTAACTGAATTTTTGAAGATCTTCCCCACCGAGAGACCATGACGGTCGAAGAAGCAGCAGCGGAACGCCTTTTGGATTTGGGACCATAGGGATGCCTGTGGACCCATGGTGGTAGCTATTATCCTCTTTCCCCTCCTTTTTACCTCATCTTTCCTACTATTCTTCCCTTCTATCGCAAGCCACTTTACGGGCAGAACCAGTAAAGTAATTCTGTGTTGAAAGCATAACTCCCTGGGCTTGATGCCATTTCTTTTTGCACTTCAGGATCACAGCTGAAACGAACCATCACACGTTCACCGAGGAGTGGACCGTGACAGCAGGCAAATATTTCAGTCGCTTGTTTACACTGCTTCTGTCCAGGCAATATTTCTGAATCTTTTCAATTTTCTCAGCCAATCTCTTTTGCAAGCTTTCATTAATCTTCTTGAGGTCTTTAACTTCCTTTCTTGCTTCCCAGCAGGCCAGCTCCACCTCCACACGAATACATTCTTGTTCAAGCCACTCGTCCTTCATCCGTCCCAGCTGAGCTTTGAGGCCTTCTGTTTCCCTGTAGCAAAATAAAAATGTTGTCACGCTTCTGCTGACTGCTCAGTGGAAGCCACCACGTGAGGGTCTGCCACAACAGGGATGGCTCTGCTTGCAGGTACAAATGCTTTGATGGAAAAAAGGTCTCAATGCTAAACCGGACCGGTAAGAAGTTATCCTTTAAAACTATTTTCTTAGGAAAGTTCAAAACAGGGGGAAAAGACAGCATCGTATTCCTAACTCAGCTGCATGATACATATTCCCTGAGCACATGATGAAACCTGAAATACCTGAAAACAATTGAATCGGGCTGATCGTATCTTAAATTTCTTAATGAAAATTCTAAGTGGTCAAAAAATGAGGAAAACCATTCCGATTCCCACCCCTACGTGCCCCTGAAGAAGCCTTTCTAATGGATTTCTGAAGAGAAAGATACCTTTCTTTAAGTTTGCTCTCAGATTCCTGCAGCTTTCTTTTCAAGTGCTGTATCAGAATGTCTTTCGGCTGCAGAGGAGTCAAATGCTGCTCTGGATTTTGTGGCTTAACGTTGTAATTGTCACCCAAAGAAGAGTATCTCCCTGATGGCCTGAAAAGAAAACAAAACCACCAAACCCTCACATATCATCACTCCTACAGTTCTTCAGTCCTGGCAAAAAGACAAACACGCCGTAGACCGATACAAAGCTTGACTCCTTTGGGAGCTCCTCAGTGTCCACACAAGTGACTCCCTCTGGCAAATCCAAGGCCTTGAGGAAAGGGCTGATTTGTGGCTAGAGTGCAAAGTTTACTAGAGTTGCCCTTGGTTGCAGTGCCATGACATCAAACGAGACATTTGACTTTAAAGTAGCCAGGCATCCCCTCACCCAAAATGGGTGGTGTGGCTAAGAGCAGCCAGCCAGGCCCCTGGCAAGGGCACCCAGCTGTAGGCACGGCCAGGTGAGGTGGCGTATGGACTGAGTTCAGCGCCACACGGGATGCTGAAATAAAGACTTGCCTCATCGCTGGGCTGCTGTCGCTTCCCTTGTATGAGCCTGAGTTGCTGCTGCTGGTGGGAGAAGCCCCAAAATTATTCTGGTGGATGTTAGTAGGACTCAGCTGGCTTTTTCCCTTGACATATTAGTTTTCTGACAAGAATTCATTATTTATTTGGTATCCAGGCGGGTACAAACACTGTGGGGGTCAGTTGCTTTACCTGAGGAAAGTGGTGCTGCACAAGATGGCGGCTGCAGGCCCAGCACAACTGAAGGAATAGAAAAATCTGGCATGCCCGGGACTGTGATAAAAGAGAGCCGTGGCTGGAGACTTTTACATGCACAAATAACGCACATCCTCCTCTCCATGAGATTACAGGGAAGACAAGCGACATGAATCGGTACTGGAAATAAGTGTCCATGCCTCTAAGGAACAGTGGCCGTGATGTCCAGGTGGACAGTGAAGGGATTGACGCAGAAATTAAGTCAGGGGATGAGGAAAGTAAAAGACAGGAAGAAGTAGAGACCCTTCAGGAGGGTGTATTTTAATGTACCTCATGCTTTATGAGGTGAGGCTCATCTGACATTCAGACCTGCAATGAGGAGGCCTGGGTGCTTCACGCTACGTCCCTTGCAACTTCGCTGTACCTGCCATCAGCTACAGGGAGAGGAGTGCAGAACAGAGCTCATCAGCACCCACACCTGGCGGCAAAACCCATCTGAGAAAGGCTGACGAACCCTCCTCCTTTTCCCAAACATCCCCCAGCCCTAAAACTTCAGGAAACCCATCTCTTCTCCCAAACCATCAGGGAGGAACCCCACTCCTTCCTGACATCTCCCACCCGGAATTTGCACCCCTGAACCCCCTGCCTCAGCCTCTCCTCTGCAGCTGCTAAACCGAGCCGTGCCCTGCATCCCGTGGGTACATCCTGTCTCCTATCTTCCCATGGACTCCAGGCTCTGCTACAGGCCCACAACATAAGTGAAGTTTTGATGCTTATAATCTACAAGGGACAGGGAAAAAAAAAAAAAAGTAAAGAACAAGGACAGAAAAATACATAAAAGTAAACACAGAAACAAAAAAAATCATCCCCATTCCTAAAGGTATTTAGAAGATGTGTAGATGTGGCTCTTGGGGACATGGTTTAGTGGTGGACTTGGCAGTGTTAGGTTTACGGTTGGGCTCAATGATCTTAAGAGTCTTTTCCAACATAGGGTACAGAACAGAGAGGAAAACATTAAGAAATGAAGACAAGGAGACGGATAGAGGGATACATAGAAAGAGAAACTAGAAAGCGGCAGGGTACAGAAAACATAGGAAAGAATTTAAAAATAGGGACAGGGAGGAAGACAGGTAGAAATAGAAAGAAAATTTAAAAAAGCAATTCACACAGGTGAGAAGTAAAAAATAAGGCCAGGGAGCTAGTGAGAGAGACATATGTATAAAGACAGAAAGTTTTGAAACTGACAGGATAAAGTAAAGAGCAAGAAGAAATAAGAAAAATAGGAAAAGGGAGCCAGATAGAGGGAGGCATAGAAAGAAAGCTTGAAAAGTGATGGGGTACGATAACAGAGGGAGGTATTATAAATAGGGCCAGGGAGCCTGATAGACGGAGACATTGAAACGAATTTTAAAAAGTATTGGGGTACAAGGCAGTGGAAAAACTAGAGAACAGGGAGAGGGAGACAGAGAGACACAGTAAAACTTTAAAGGGCAACAGGGGACTGGACAGAGTTGGCAGAAGAACAAGGTTTGGGGAGACACGCATGTCAGTGGACAGGCAGGGAAGGAGACGGAGGAAGGGGGGCAGAGACATCTAGAGAAGGGTGGCAGAGATGGGCCATGATGCAGAGGAGAGGATGCATGACTGACCGCAGGTCCTGGTGCAGGCAGGAGACCTTCACCACCCCAACTCTTCTCTCTTCGCCTCTGCTCTTTCCTCCTCTGCAGTGCCGTCTGCCTGACCCTCACCCACTCAGTAGCATGCAGTGAACACCTTGATGCTCCTCATCCACAAGGCTTCCTCAATATATGGCAGCCCACACACATAGCCAACAGAGGCACCAAGCTGCCAGCACCGCTTGCTGGTGGTGCACTCTGTCCAGGATGGCTTGGAGGGATCCTTTGTCCCAGAAAGGACTGTCCATTCCTTGCTGGAGGCCCCTGCCTGCAAGCCCCCCTTAGGATTCCTTCCTCAGCCAGATCCCTTTTGTCAGCTCCCCAAGGCAGGTGTGCCTGGGCAGCCCCTTCACACAGCAAGGCCAGCCCCATCATCATCCTCACTGGCCACACCTGGGGCTGCCCCAGCCCCAGCTGGAGCCCATCAGGAGCAAGGGCCTTTACCAAAGCCCCACAGCACATCACCCCCTTCCCTGCACCTCTCCACAGCCACCAGCCCCGCACCCAAGGGGCTACAAACACATCCAGGGGCAGAGGAGGCAGGAAAAGTTTATTCATTTAACGCACATGAGAAATCCTGGCAGTGAGCTGGCTGCGAGGCTCAGTGCCCAAACACAGCAGGACAGAGAGAGAAAAGGGATGAGAAAAGCAGGAGGAAGGACAGAGGCACATAGAGAAGAGGTGCCAGAAAATGGGAGGTTGCGAACAAGAGAGGGGTGGGGAGCAGGACAACCGTGTAGAGAGAGAAGAGTGGAGAGATTGTGCCAAAAAACAGGGACAGAGAGATGAAGGAATAAATAAGAGAGACAGGGAGCAGGAGAGAGAGGTGGAGACAAGACAAGGGACGGGGAAAAAATCTGAAGTGACAGGGGGAAAGAAACATATGCAAGAAATAAAAAATAAAGCAGGGAGACAGATAGAGGTAGACATAGAAAGAAAATTTCAAAAAGCAACAGGGTACCAGAAACATAGCCAAGAACTAACAAATAAGGACAGGGAGACGTAGAAAGAAAGTATGAAAAGTGACAGGGTGGAGGACAGAGGGGGAAGAATGAAGAATTAAGAACTATAGACAGGGAGATGGCTAGAGGGAGACATAGGAAGAAAATTTTGAAAGCGATGGGATACAAGAATCATAGTCAGAATTAAAAAATAGGTACAGAGGGAGATGTAGAAAGAAAATTTGAAAAGCAATGGGGTACGAGAAACACTGGCAAGAAATCAAAATTAGGTCAGGGAGACAGAGAGAGGGAAAGGTAGCAAGAAAATTTAAAAAGCAGCTGGGTTCAAGAAACATATGCAAGAATTAAAAAGATAGGGATGGAGAGGTAGTAAGAAAGTTTCAAAAGCGATGGGGTACAAAAAACATAGTTGAGAATTAAGAAATAGAGGCAAGGAGCCTGATCAATGGAAACTGTGGTGGGTTGACCTTGGTTGGCTATTGGGTGCCCACCAAGCCGCTCTACCGCTCCCCTCCTCAGCAAGACAGGGGGAGAAAATACAACAAAAGAGCTTGTAGGTCGAGACAAGGACAAAGAGATCACTCACCAGTTACTGTCACAGGCAAAACAGACTCAACTCGGTGAAATTAGTTTAATTTTTTGTCAATCAGAGTAGGAAAGTGAGAAATAAGAACAAATCTAAAAAACACCTTACCCCACCCTTCTCTTTTTTTCTTGGGCTCATCATCACTCCTGATTTCTCTACATCCTACCCCCGAGCAACACAGGGAGCAGGGGTTGCAGTCAGTTCACCACACCTTGTCTCGGCCGCTCCTTCCTCCTCACGCTCTTCTGCTCCAGTGTGGGTCCTGCCCGATGGGGCCATAGGTCCTGCCAGGAGCCTATTCCAGCATGGGCTCCTCTCCACAGGGCCACAGGTGGTGACAGGAGCCTGCTCCAGCACAAGCTCTCTGTGGGGTCACAGCCTCCTTCAGGTCCGTCCACCTGCTCCAGCATGGGGTCCTCCTTGAGAGCTGCAGGTGGATATCTACTCCACCGTGGACCTCCATGGGCTGAAGGGGAACAACCTGCATCATCATGGTCTTCACCACAGGCTGCAGGGGAATCTCCACCAGCGACTGGAGCACCTCCTCCCCCTCCACTGACCTGGGTGTCTGCAGGGCTGTTTCACACTCCCGTTTTCCCTATCACAGCTTCTGCACAGTATTTTTTAACCCCTTCTTAAATGACTGTCACAGAGGCGCTACCAGCGTTGCTGATGGGCACCGCTTGGATCTAGAAGCAGATCTCTCTCAGAGCTGGAACCAGCTATGCCCAACATGGGGGCAACTCCTGGTGTCTTCCCACAGAACCCGCCCCTGCCCTCCCCCTGCTCCACCCCAGCTAATAAAACCTCGCCACCTAAACCCAGTACAACAGGGATTGGCTACAGGGCAGAGAAGGGGGATTGAAAAATAGTGAAAGGGAGCCACCAAGAGACAAAAACAGCAATGGGCCACAGACCAGAGAGGAGGATGGGACAGGGAACCAGTCTGAGAGAGATGGAGAAAAACAAAGAATAGTGATGGAGCACAGGGCAGAGAGGGAGAAATTAGAAAAGGGGACCACGAGGCGGACGGAGATAAACTGAGAAATACCAAAAAACCTCGATAAGCTGAAGGGGAGGGACAGAGGAATCAAAGAATAGGGACAGGGAGCCAGACAGAGAATGGTAAAGGTGAAATGGGCTGTTAGGGAGAGAGGGAAGAAATTAAAACATAGGGACAGGGACCTAGAACAACAGACTCTAAGAAAGAAAAAGTATATCTAGAACATAGGGCAGGAGAGAGGAATTAAAAAATAGGAACATGGAGCCAAGCAGAGAGAGGGGGTTGGGGAAGTGGGAATTGTTCAGGGGTAAAGGGCAGACAGGTAGAAATTAAAAAGAAAAATAGGATAGGAAACAGACAGACAGATAGATAGAGAAAGACAAAAATAGTGATGGGCTGCAGGACAGAGAAGATGAAAAAATGAGGGACGGGGAACAGTACAGAAGTGCAGAGAGAAAAAACAAGCAGAGAAGTTACAACGACAGAGAAATAGGGGGACTTGGAGAAAGAGAGAGGGAGAGGTGTAGGGACGTGAAAAAAAAAAATAAATGACAGCAGTTCGAGAAGGAGAAGGGGGTGGGGTGTCGAGAGGGACTGGAATGCAGAAGAGGGACAACACAGCCCCAGGGGTCCAGCACTTGCCGCAGCTCCCTCTCTCAGAGCTGCTGGAAGAATTTGTGAATTCAGACGCGTCTTTCTCTCTCTTCACCTTCCTTCCTCCTCTGTAGCTCCGGTTGCTCGACTGTCATCCACCTAAGAGAACAGGCTGGTGCCTTACAGCTCCTACGAGGCGTCCCAGACACGCAGCCTCACTCACGTGCACACTGCATGGCTGTACCGCGTTTTTGGTTACACGTACAGACCCGGCCGTGCACATTGGTGATTGGGTCTGCTGAGGACTACACGAAGAGGGATCCTTTCTCGCCCGGAGAGGCCGGCTGTCTCCTGTCTGCAGCTCGAGGCAGCTGCTGGCTGGATCCTCTTCATTTTATTCTTCAGCTGCTTTACCTGGTTTTGGCCTCTCCAGCTTCAGCTGCTTTACCTGGTTTTGGCCTCTCCAGCTTCAGCTGCAGCAGCTCCTGTCCACAGCCACAAGTGTCCAGCTGCCCCTTTTTGCCCGTGCCGCTAGGAGAATGAGACCAAAGGTAACTTACACAAACCTGATACAGTCAACAACATCTGCGGAGAAGAACTGACAACTCAGTCCTCAGTGCTGCCTCTGGGAGAGAGAAGAGCAAGCAATTTTTATCCACAGTGGTGACGGCAGCTCTCCTGAGGCCGAAACCCCTCCTTCTGCAGGAGCTGCCACTCTTCTCCCCGAACCTGATGCTGATGGCACCTGTATTTATGGTGCAATAAAGCATATTCTGGGACCAGCTTGTTGCTTCAGGACAGGGTTTGGGGGCAATCTGTGGCTACAGGATAGGCTTCAGGGCAAGTGCTGGAGCTGAAGGCAGCTGCATGAGGTGAGCAGGGCTGGAGTTGTTTTGTTGAGTTGGGGAGCCACCCAGCGCCTTTTCCAGGGGGTGGGAAGGTCTCCAGGTACCCAAAGGAGTGGGGGCAGACATCTCCTGCCCCTCTTCCTGCTTCATCTACATCAGCTCTCAGAAAATCCCTGGGAGCTGCCCTGATGGTCCCTGACTCCAACTGACCGTCTGTCTGTTGCACCGGTGGGTTGGAAACATCCTTATGACTTGTTGGCACTCTCAGGCAGGTGTGCTCCAGCAGCATCATCCCCTTTTACACAGAGGGGCCATCACCATCAGCCTCACTGGCCTCCCCTGGGGCTCCTCCAGCCCCAGCCCACAGCTGCAGCCACAGACCCGACACCCACGGCATAACCTGCTGCCCTGGACTTTCTGACAGCCACCCACCAGGTACAAAGGACTATGAACACAGCCACGAGCGCAAAGGAGACAGAAGGTTCATTACGCATATAAGCCTGGGAGTGAGTCCGCTATGGAGGTCAGGGCCTGTCCACTCTCCCTTCCCTTGGGACAACTCGGCAGCTGTTACTGGAGCAGCAGATACAGAAAATAAAACCACAGCAATGGGAAGGAGGACAGAGGAACAGAAAGAGAAAAATAAAATGAGGGAGAAGGACAGAAGAGCAGAGAAAGAAAGGTACAGCGAAAAGGATAGAGAGATGGGTAGGTCAGTAAGAAAGGCATGAGGAGCCCTGCATGGACATGGTGGAAGAAAAACAGGGTCAAGGAGCCAGACAGAGGGAGAGAGAAAATGATGAGCAAGGAGCAGAACAGACAGCTCGAGAGAGAAACTGAATGTGAGGAATAAGGGAGGGAGGGAGAGAAAAAGACAGGAAAGAAGCCAGAGAGATTGAGGAAAAAAGAGACAGATCAGGACAAAGAAGAGGAGAAAGTAAAACCGGCTCTGGGTTGCAGGATGAGAAAAGAAGGCCAGTGAGCAGAACAGAGGGGAATAATGGGACAGCAAGCTGGGCAGGGGGATATAGTAGAGAAATGATGGGACAGGCAAGCGGTATGGAGATACACAGTCAAAAAGTTAGGGAGAGGATGGAGGACAGAAAATAAGAGAAAAGGGACAGCGAGTGGGTCAGAGATGGAGAAAGAAACATTAGAGACAGAGAGGAGGAAAGTGACAGGACTGAGGCAGAGAGACAGAGAAAGGAAGAAAGAAGCAGTGATGGGTAGCAGGCTGGAGAGACAAGAAAAGACAGGAGGAAGGACAGAGCGATATAGAAAACACCTAAGGGACAGAGAGGCAGAAAGCAGGGTACTGAGAGAGGGACAAGGAGCAGGATGCTGAGATAGAGAGCAAACAAGAGCAACAGAAAGAATGACAGAGAGGTGGAGCGCAAGAGAGAACAGGGACAGAGAGGTGAAGCAATAAATAGCAGGGACAGGGAGCAGCACAGAGGGTCAGAGAGTAGGAGATGAACAGGCAGGAGGACAGTGACTGAGATACGGAACTGAAAAAACAGTGACAGTGAGCAAGGCAAGGGATAGAGAGAGAAAGAAAGGGAAGGAAGGAGAGAGACAGGAGGGCAGGGATATGGAGCGTCACGTACAGGCAGATCTCGCCTGTCAGTGTTGCTGGGAGAATTTAACAGTTCAGATGCATCTTTCTCCTTCTGTCCTCCCTTTCTCTTCTATAACTCTGGTCGCTTGGTTGTCCTCCACCTTACAGCTCTTACGAGATGAGGCTTCCTAGACACAAAGCCTTGGCTTGCTTGTGCACTACGTGGCCATACCACGCTTTGGGTTACACATACAGATCCTGCGGTGCCTGCTGGCGGTCTGGCCTGCTGTGGACCACGAAGAGGGGTGCTTCCCCACCGGAGAGGCAGGGTGTCTCTTGCCTGTCACAGGAGGCAGCTGCTGGCTGGATGGCCTTTGGTTGCTTTGTCTTTAGCTTTCTCTGGCCTCTCCAGCTTCAGCCGTGACAGCTCCTGTCCACAGCCAGTACGTGCCCTGCCTGTCCCTTTCCACTCCCGTGAGGCCAGGAGGGTTGTCTCAACCCACCAACGCCTGAACAGCATCCCCAGGGGAGGAAAGGACAACCGCATCCCCAGCACAGCCTCTGGGAGAGGGAAAGAAGCAGCAGTGACCACTATGGGCATAGATCACCCCTGGCTGAGGCCTCTCCTTCCACAGCGGCTTCTGGAGACGCCGCTCTTTGCCCGCACTGCTGCTAACGGCACCCAGGTTAAGGGAAACCCAAGCACACTTGAGGACCAGCTTGAGGCCTTCACGACAGGGCCAGTGGGGCTGGGTAGACTCATGGTGGGGCTCTGGTGAATTCAGAGGTGCTGGGGCGATGTCTGCCTTATTCCCTTCCATCAGCCTGTGGGTAACTCCCCGGGCTGCCCTGACCTGGCTCTCCTCCAGCGCATGGCAGCCTCCCATCCTGGCTTCCCCAGGCAGTCAGTGGGCAGGAGGCACCCCTGTGCCCGACAAAAGGGCTCTCCCACCTCACCAATGGTCCTGGACCTCCCTCCCCCACACCAGCAACCCCATCCAGCACACCCCCATGCTGTTCCAGGTCCGCAAAAACCTACGTGCCCCAAACCAACACGGTGTTGCCCGCCTTGTTCAGCGATCACTCCACTCCGCCCTTGGCCATGGCTCACACCGGCCCCTCCATGGCCACCCCAGGCAGGAAAGTGCCAGCCCCTCCACCAGCAGCCGGCCCTGGACAGGGAGGGGCCATCACCATCAGCCCCACAGGGGGGGTCCTCCAGCCCCAGCCCACTGCTGGAGCCGAGCAGGAAGAGGGGGCCATGGCCAGACCCCCCCAAAGCATCACCTTCGCCACTGGGCTCCTTCACAGTCTCTCGCCCGCTGCAAAGAAGTGGAAAGGCAGCCGTGAGGGCAAAGGAGACAGCGAGTGTTTATTCAGTCACGCACGTAACAAGTCTGCTCCGCTGCGGGGCCCCCAATGCTCCCCCTGCCCCTGGGACACCCCGGCAGTCATTCCTGGAGCTGTGCTTGATGGTCTGTCAGGGAATGGAGGGTGGGTCAGCTGGCTCCTGGAGCGATGGGCTGCTGGACAGAGGTGGAGACTGCCAAAAATGAGGAGCAGGGTGCAGGTCACTAGAAGAGAAGAGAAAAGCGGCAGTTGGCTGGACAGCAGGGGTGTAGCAAGAAAGCATGATGTAGGGAATGAGACAGCGGGAGAAAGACAGAAAAGACAGGGACAAGAAAAAGGACAGAGGCACAGGAAGAGGGGGGAAAAAAGGAAACAGGACGGAGATGGAGAAAGAAGCAGCAGGGACAGAGGAAGAGAGGCAGAAAGAGGGAGTGGGAGGACAGAAAAAGAAAAATAAGGCCAGGGAGCCGGACGGAGATGAAAGAGACCCTGGGATGGGCAGCATGACAGAGAGGGATTAAAAAAGAACAGGGGCAGGGAGCAGGACAGAGTGGTAGAGACATGGCACAAGACAGGAACAGGAGAGTAAAAGAAAAGGCACAGGGAACTATTTAAAAAGGGAAAACAAGAGAGAGCAAAATAGTGATGAGGAAGGGGATAGGGATGGGCAGCAGACAGAACACGAGAGCAACATGAGAGAGGACACCGGACAGAAAGTGAGAGGAAAAAAGGGACGGAAAGCTGGATATAAGGATGGAAGAAAAACAGGAACATAAAACAGTATTTATTATATAGTGTGGCTAATTAAACTGTAAACAATCTACCAGCTTGAACAGAACTGCTTACCGTGGTGGCTTAGCCTGTATCTCGTCTAAGTTAGCACCTGTTTCTTGGCAGGGTATGCAGGACTATAAAACTCATGATAAAACACGGAAGGAGAAACATGCTTACAGACATAAGCTAAATGGATTCTGTGCACAAGATTCAGTATTACTTAGCCTTAGTCCTAGCTTGTGCAGTCAATTAATACTCTGATCTCTGAATTTCATTTCTGCAAACTCCATGCTCCTCCAAAAAAAAAAAAAATATTGCATTATCTCAGTGTTAGATAAAGGGTTGTTTGTAGCTGATGTGAACATAGTGAGAAACTTCTCTTTTGCAGGTTCTTTGGAAATCCTACACTGACCTTAAAATTGAGCAAGAGGACTGTAAGAAACCAAGAAATCTTTACGGCAGACTACTTCAGTGGACACAACATGTTAAGGTGTATGTCTGGACCCAGAACACAGAACTGGTCTTGAATCTGGTCCATGGTAGAGAAAAAGCCTTGACTGCTTTGGTTGTCTCGCTTTTTCAAATCAACAGTGAACCTAAGTTCAGTCCTGTGCCTGTGCCACAAAGAGGGTAAAGACATTCCTACATTATGTATAACAGCTTTATCTTCTATGCAAGTATTAATACATTGCCTTCCCCTGCTGTGTTTCTCGGGTATTGTACAGTATTTTCTCTGGTCATGAATAAATGCATTTGAAGATTTGGTTTGAAAATACTGGTTTCAGGTATTTTTGGTTTGAAAGCAACCCAAGAAAACACCATACAGGAGGTAATTAATTTTAATACTCTCTGAATTTCCAATATTTGAAGGGAAAAATAATGGGGTAAATGCAGGAGTATGCAGCCATTACCAACAGAAACAGCGTTAGTAAGCTTCTCAATATTGCTTTTTTGGCATTTCATGGGGAAAAACATTGAGCCTAAGACTTCTCATCCGTAAATTCTTGGGGGCTGGGGGGAGAAGGAACCCGACACTCCTAGTAAGTTGCCTGAGAATCACAGCTTACAGTTACTCTATGTCTTCTGGTCTCACAGGGTGAGGCAGTGGTATAATTGATTTCTTCTCCGTATCTCTGGAAAGAGCTTTTCTCATATCTATAGCAAAAGGAAAAAAAAAGCTATTATAAAAAGCTATTATAATAAGACAGTCATTGCACAAAACCATATTAAGTGAATTCTCTATTACAATATGATCATTTTTAATCAAGATTTCATAGAATCATTGAATATCTGAAGTTGGAAGGGACCCATAAGGACCATTGAGTCCAACTCCCTGCTCTTCGCAAGACTATCTAAAACTAAACCATATGACTTAATAGCATCGTCCAGATGCTCCTTGAACTCTGAAGGGTTTGATGCCATGACCACTTCCCTGGGCAGCCCGTTGCAGTGACTGAGCACCCTCTGAGTGAAGAACCTTTTCCTAATGTCCAATCTGAACTTCCCCTGATGCAGCTTCATTCAATTTCCTGGTGTCTTATTGCTGGTCACCAGAGAGAGGAGATCAGCACCTCCACCTCCGCTGCCAACCCTGAGGAATTTCTAGACCATGATGAGGTCACCCCTCAGCCTTTTCTTCTCCAAGATGAACAAACCAACTGACCTCAGCCACTCCTCATAAGTCTTGCCCTTGAGCCCCTTCACCATCTTGGTTGCCCTCCTCTGGACACACTCTTAGTAACTTGATGTCCTTAATGTTGTTCAGCAGCAACGTTATCAATTGGAATATAACACTGCATGAAACTCAACTGAATGGAGAGGAACTGGCACGCTAAAGGGACAAATATATGATTTAAGGCATCTGCCTCAATGGTAGATGTTTATCTGTAGCCCCTGTATTTCACAGTACTCCTGCATATCAAAGGAATAGTGCAAGAACAGAAAAGATACACAGCATGAGCACGTAACCCTTTGGGGAGGATACTTAAAGGAAAGAAGATCTAGAAAGAGGAAGCAGCTGGTACTTCAGTTTCGTTAAGAGAATTAACATTAACACACTTGAATTTCCATGGCCTTCCCTTTTAAATTGAAAATTCCACCCAATTCTATGCCACTATTGACCACTGACACTTGTCAATTTGTAGTTAGACATCTACAAAAAACAAAGCTTTAAGTCCCTGTTATGGGAAGAAATGAGGAAAGCACTCCCATTCTTCCCCCGAGTAGCATCAGCAAAAAACCCAGCCACTAGGCGTGAGCATGCCTCAGAAAGAAAAATTAGATAAGAAACCGCATTTTAATTTTCACCTTACCTACAGGATAAACGTCTTTGTATTTACTATTTTATTCTTGTTTTGTAGTTTATTTTGCCACAGATGCTACAAAATATGCAAACCGCAAGACTAAGTTTTGTAACTGATGTAATCTTCAGTAGGATAAGCTACCCAAAGGAGCATACAAAATCCCATTCATCAACGACTATCTGAACTTGTTTCATATAAAAAACCCCACCTTCTTACAAACAAGCCCAGGAACCCTCAACATGAGAATATTTCCATTCAACTTGAGGCAGAACAAGTACTTACCATAAGCGTCTTCATCTGGCTCTCCACTGCTGGCAGAGTAGTACTCCAATACTGTCCGGTACACACTGTAGCCTAGTTGTTTATACATATTTACCGCAACCTGATTTGATACTCTCACAAAGAGATCAACAAAAAATCCACCCTTTCTTTGAAGAAATAACAAACAAAAACAAACAAACAAAAAAACCACAAAACACCACAGTAAGGAATAGTAGGTGAATGTATTTCTAAATAATAACCGATAACTTGTAATCAGACCAAGCGCAGACCTGATGATGTGGTACGCTAATCAAACATCTTTCACACTAATAACAGATGCACTCCTTTACCAAGGGACAAATCCAGTATAGGCACAAATTTTATTTTATTTCTGTCACACAACTGTTCTTCTACATCAGCCAGTAGGTTCAGAATTATGAACTGAAAGAACAGGACAAGCTAAACACCCACAGAAGCCTCATATTTGTAATAAATTAGTTTTTAAAAAAATAATCCACATTTTAGATTGCATTGGCTTAGGGACGGCCTCCTTCAAAATGCATGGCGGGACGGAGGAGGGGGAGGAAATCAGTCACAAAATTCAGTTGCCTAACAGAAGACAGTCCTTCTCACAAGGCAAATTTTTTAACACATCATACTGTTTTCCGAATTTACCAGCTACAACAGGGTGACCCTATCGGCATGAGTTGGGGACATTTCTCTGTGGGTTCATTTGATGCTACATTAAATTTTCTGCAAGTACAAGTAACAAAGCACGAGATGGAAAAAAGTAAGCTAAGATACCGTCTATTCAAGATTGTGCCTGAGGGAATTGCACAAAGCCCATGAACAAGTATGTTGGAGACCCTATAGGAAATATTGTTGACTTTCTGTGAAGCTCTTTTTCTCTAAGAAAAGGATCTTTCTTATGGTACCTCTGTTGGAATTCAGGCTACTTCCTACTCATTCTGGCAAGTTACCTTTCAGAGAAACCCTGAGATTTTAAACTGCCAAGCAACATTCATAATTCTTGTTCTCTGACTACAGGGAATTTCAGCGAACCAGAACACAACTTAAAGCAAAATTTTGGGTCTGTTTCATGCAGATCAAATATCTAAGCCACAGACAGGTGCATGTAGAAAGATTACTTTAAAAGGTAAAGATAAGCACAGTACTCACTTTTCTGAAATTTCTTCCAGTAGTTCCATCAATTTAGCAGCCAAACCCAGCCGTCGAAACTCTGGTGCAACAGAGAGCGCGGTAACATGCCCATGCCATTCTTCCCTAGCCACAGAGCCTTCCGCTTTACCCATAACTGTGAACATACAGAGCGTCAACGCAGTAGCACCTCTGGAATAATGCACCACCCACAGCTATACACCTTTACAAAAGAATCAAGCAGTGTATAAACAAACGTTGCAATGATTGCAGTAAAGGCTCAAACAGGGATGTCTACATTATTGCTCTGTGATTCAGCAACCACTGAAAATGTCATTTCACTGAAGCGTTACAGTAGTTTCTTGACTAGTGTAAAAAAAAAATATATATATTTTTGCAAATTCATTGTTTGATGCATGACTTTGAAATGCCAATTTTAAGCAACTCTTGTGAGTCTTCAACTGAGCAGAATTCAGGATCTGACTAAAATAATGAAGGAACGGAGGGCTAGAAGCCCAAAACTCACCATCCTGGCAACTATCGGAGACTTGTAGTGACTCTAGGGGAATAGAGCCTGGGAAGCTTTGGCAATCTGGCAATAGAAAGCTAAGGCCCTGCAAACAAGGTATGTCTAATCAAGAAAAAAAAAGGGGGGGAAGTTGTTTTGGGGGGGGCTTCTTTGTAGTTTCTTTCTTTTCTACCAGTGCCAAAACAGTGTTAGCTCACTAATGAATATTCACACTTCCACACGGTACTCTTATAAACATCAGTCACTGCTAATAAGCAACTGATGCGGTGGGTACAGAGACACTTTATTTCCCAGATCCCTGCAAAGACCCTTATTCCACCCCACTCCCCCCCCCCAAAAAAAAAAAAAGAGGGAAGGAATAAACAAACCAACAGCTCTACTTGGAATGATTCCTGAGAAACATGAATATTCCACAGCCAGTAAGCAACTGATATCCAGACCCAGAGCTGTCCCTTATGGGACAATGAAAAACCCAACCCTAGCCTTTTTACTTACTGATGAGTGACAGCTGAATGCAAGGACTTAATTCCAGGATTAGAGAAACGCTGGCATGCATACCTTCACCTGTGTATAACCTGGGTGGACCTTACCACACTCAAGACTCCTTATCGCGCTAGGAACATCAAACTGAAAACTACTGCTACAGGTCCTACCTAATAACCTTAGACATTTATGAAATAGGAAGATGGTATGTAATGATCCTCTTCATAGAATGGTTTAGGTTGGAAGGGACCTTGGAGATCATTGAGTTCCAACCCCCCTGCCATGGGCAGGGACACCTCCCACTAGACCAGGTTGCTCAAAGCCCCATCCAGCCTGGCCTTGAACACCTCCAGGGATGGGGCATCCACAACTTCTCTGGGCAACCTGTTCCAGTGCCTCACCACCCT